TAAAATTTTATGTAGAATTGTTAAAACCGCAAAATTTATCTTATTTTTGTTGACAAGATACGCAAATTGCACATTTTTTAGTAATCGTGGACTCGGTGTTACAATAATTTATATTATAATAAATAAACATGTAATTCGATTACAAACTACTGTAATCAAGATTCAAGATTACTCTTTATAATAAGTAAAGTAATCATGATTATTTTTAATCCGGTTACAAAAGTAGTTGATTACCCCCAACTCTGTTCTAAAGCAGCTATTTACTTCTGCCGTTACTTAATAGGAATTGATAATTTATAAACTGTTAAAACCCACATCTTTACTGTATCTTTTACTGTTAAAGGGGTGTGTGGTAAACAAGAATAATGCTAATAGAACCCTCTTCGAATAATAAACCGGATTATTTTGTAAGTTAAATAACAAAAAAGTAGAAGGGTCTCTGAATATTTACAAGTCTTTCTTTATACAATTGAATAAACGTGTTTTGATAGTTATTTAAGTAACGATACAGCGAAGTCGGCGAGTTTGTCATCTATTTAACTTCATTAGAATCATGCAGTTGAATGTCTCTATTAATATAATCAAAATCTAATGTTTTTATGTTTGTTTGTTTGGTAATCTCTGGAAATACTAATCCGATCATGAAAATTATTACCTACGGGTAGCGACGTCGTACGCGGGAGACATAGGCTATAATTTACGCGTTCGATGGCGCGGGAAAACAGGTAGTATTATAAGTATAACAATCTTTTTGCATTAATAGTTTTGAACATGATTCGTGCAAAAGAGAGAAAGAAGCACATTAAAACATTTTGTGTATCATACTAAAGACAGCCTAACAGATCTGAATAATAAGAAATCTTCTAATTGACCAGTCATTATTAAGTAAGCACGTTTCTTGTAAGAACATTCAAGAAAAGACTTTAAACAAAATTTGTGCTACTCTCACAGAACAAAAAGTCCATAATTTTTTTACGCGGCTTGCGTTGCCGCAATTTTGACCTATATTTTGTAATAAAATTTTAAAATATATAGAATTTTTTCATTAGATTCACACATTTTGACAGTATGAAAAAGAAATGAAAATCACTCATTTTGCTAATTTGAATTCAGAGTTGTCTTCTTTAAAATGTAAACTTTTTAATGATACCGAAACCAGACAGATATAAATGGTATATCCAGAAAGTTTTTTTTTATAAGTTTATGCATACTTTTGCCTAACCTAATGGATGTATATATTTGCATGTCACTTGGCATCATAATATACTTAATATGAAAATATTAAATTACCCTAGCCGATCGTGTTAGTCATTAGATTGTATGGCGAGCGATATTTTATCTTAAGATTTGATATCATAGCATTCTAACTGATATCAGCTTTCATTATCTACTTTTGCAAATAATATTATCCACCCTTATACACGAGACGAGAGGGTGAAAAACAAAGGTCCAAGATAAGGTCTCTGAAGGACACTGGTTGCTAGACGTATAAAAGATTGACATGACAACCTCAAACATCTAAATGTCAAGAACTTGTTGCAACCACTATTCGGTTGCAACGACTTCATTTGTAATATTTAATTTGTAAATTCAAAACATTTGATAAGCCTTTGTCAAAAGCTTCGGATTTTTTTTGTATAGACTTTATATATATGTATGTGAATCGCGGCTCAGAAAATAACTTTCAGATGTACGATTTTATTGCAGAATCTAAGAGTAGAAATTATGTTAGAGAAAATGTAATTTCATAGATAAATTACCCGTAATAAGGTCTGTTATGCTATTGCATAACAGACCATATTACGGGTAATTTACTCGTACTGAACTGATTTTCGTTCTAATACAAATCGTACGTAACAATACGTTTAATTTCTCGCTTATTCTATGTATGTATGTCTAGTTCTTAATCCTATTGGGACAGATTGTGCCTAGCCTATTCGAAATCATATATATTTGAACGAAAATGCGTCTAGTTATTCATACATTATAAGTGTATCTAACAGTGGTAAATTATTATATAAAAAATAAGTTCAAAAACTAAAACTCGACTAAAGTAGCAAATGCTACGGGCCTCGCGGGATTAGGATTCTCGCTATGGTGACCAAAAAAACTTTTTTCAAGTTAGTGTTGAAAAGAACTCATATTTTTAAGTATAAACAACGTACAAACATAAGCTGACAAATAAAACACAAGTCAGAGATTAGTCGAGTTGTGCCATTCGGATAGCAAAAGACGAGTTTTCTATTTAGTTTGCATAGTTAGGTACTGATTCCGATTGTTCGTCATCGTCGTGACGAAAGATAAAACAATTTCAAGAAAAACAAAAAACCCAATTGCGTAAAAACGAATTTTAAAAAATACACGAAAAATACAATAAAAACTAAAAAGAAAGAAACAAGCCCAGTAGTTTAGAAGTCTGTTAAGTAATACTAAATAACTACCCAATTGAAATAGTTTTATAATCGATACACATAAAACAAATCATAAATTCTAATCCAGAACAGAACGACTCATAGTCGGGGCCCCTTGGAAAGATTTGATTGGTAAAATTTAAATAGGTGAATGGAAGAATACTGCTACTGCAAGAAAAAGCTCAAAATACTACAGGCCCAGCACTGGCAGTAGTCGGGTTTTAGTTAATGAACTTATTTTTTTATTTAATTACTTTTCAGATGTATTTAAGCAAAAGCTATCTAGCTTTGAAATATGCTGATTAAGCCCTTTCATTTGATACCCTACACAGAATGATTGAATAATATATTTTTTTAGTTTATGCTCTGTAGAGTGCGCCCGCGTGCTCACCCCTTTTCCCTTCTTTTTGCTTCGCCGTAGTCAGGTAAAAACAAACCAGTTATGACCCAGATAGCACATAAAAATATTTTTTATCAATTATTTTCAAACCAATATATAGGTCGACTTAAAGAGGACAAATATTATGTCAGAAATCGAATTTATTTTTTCAATATACATATATACACCTTTCTGGGCAGAGCCAAGTCTCGTTCCAAGAGTCTCCAGAATAACGCAGGGTCGTCGGCAAACGTGACTATTCTACCCCCACAAAGCTGTAGCTGGCATAGGTCATTAATATAAACCAAAAATGACGTTGGGTCAATTATACCGCCCTGGGGGATACCAAATGTGACGTCAGCATCATCACTAATCCAGTGCTCTATTTTGACTCTTTGAGTCCTATTGGTTAAATAGTCACATAGAAGTTTTATTGGAAGGCCTCTATTTTTTTGGAGGCGAGGAATCGAAACCATGTTGAACGCTTTTGCTAGATCCTGAAAAATAGTTAGAAACCTTCTTCTCTCATCCATTGTTGATATAATAGAATATACATGGTCATGTACAGCATAGTCTTTTTGTCGGAAGCCGTATTGAGAAGATTAGAGAAGGTTTTTTGATTCTAAGAATTTGATCAATCTGTTATTTATTATACGTTGTTGGATCTTGGAGAGTACAGTTAGTATAGATATGGGTCTGTAATTATCAACACAGCTTCAGTCACCTCTCTAAAGTATCGGATTTATCAATGCCCTTTTAAAGGCTATAGGAAAGGTTCCAGTGGAAAAATCCAGATTGCATATATGTGTCATGGGAGAGGCCAATAAAGGTAAATATCTTTTAATTATTCTGCCAGATATCTGGTCAATTCCCAGTGCACAGTTATTTTTAAAGAAGGACAAGGAGCTGCAAGATCTCGACCTCATCCACCGGTAATAATGCAAACGAATCAACTGGCTAAATACATTTATTTATGAAAGAGAGAAGATAAGTGTTGATTTCGGTATTGAGATGGTATTTTTTCCGTTAAATTTGTTCCAATATTTACAAAGAAACAGTTGATTTCGTTAACACTGAGGTTTGGCGAATCTGAAGAAATGAGAGATGATGCATTATCCCCAATTTTAATTAGAACCGCTTATGTTCTTAACAACCTCCCAGAGCCTTTTTTTGTTGTTTCTAGCAGTTTCAATCTGCAGTCTCTCATAACTCCTATTAGCCTTATTCAAAACAGTTGTGCAGTAAATTCTTTAGCATTTATATGTAATTTTCCTTCCTTTTTTTATTTCTTATGTAAGTTATCCCTGTTACACATACAATGATGTAGTCCACTCGTAATCCATGGCTTTCTTATGACTTTACGGTTAGAGACTCTTACTGGGGTTGAGCTATTTTTATGGCCTTAGACAGGCATTCATAGGTCGGCTGATTTACAGTTAGGGATGAAAGAAAAGTTAATGCTTAATATGTTGTTGTTTAAATGTTCAAAATTTAGGCGTTCAACTATCTTATGAGCAGAATATAATTTGTTATTTAAGTTAACATGGACGGCTACACTGTCATGATCGGTAACAGATGTTTCAAGTACAACACATGTTGCTTTGAATCTGAATTTTAATATAATGTGATCAAGACACGTACATCCATGTGTGAGTTCTGTGTGACCCGGAAGCATATCATGGCTGGCATTAAGTCCTATGTACAAAGAAGAGCTAAGGAAATATTATTTAATACATACGTTAAATAATTATTATCATATATATCACAAAATATGGGAGAAATTTGTCCACATGCTTTTAACCCATTGCTATTAACTCATTGGAAAATTGGGTGAGATCGGGTGTAACCCATCCACCAAATATGCTGTATAACTTGCCAGAAATAAGTTCTGGTAATGGTGGCAATAATTGCCAGTCTTTTTGATCTTAGCCAGAGCTTTTGATACTATTTTGTTTTAGGATTATAGTTAAAATAACTTCGAGCTGCCCATCAGACAGAACACTAATTATCGGTGAATCAATGAGATTCTATCAGTTGGTTTAGTACTTCTTCAGGGTAGCAGATTAGACCCTACTGATAACTTACATAAATTATATTCACAAGTAGCTGTTAATAGAAGACTATGGTTTTTTAGAGGTTGGGACAGTTGGGAAAAACTTTTAAAGTTGCAGAGACTGGGGTAGCGTCTATAATTATTTAAGAGAAACTTCTTATGTTTTCATAAACAACAGCTGCAAATTTCCTATTTTTTTATGATCTATCGGTAATACTCTCTATAAGGATTAAATATCTTATTTAGCAGTAGCATATTGTGTCATATTACTTAAAATATTAAGTGATTTTACTTACCTTTGTTTTTGGTCGTCCCCTTCCTCTTTTCACTATCACATCATTAACTACTTCATCACTTTTAGTCTTTTTCACTACAGGATCACTTGTCTTTGGGATACTATTCTTGTCCTTATTAGTTTTTGAAGTATTACAATCAAGCTCTTCCTTATCATCACTGTCACTTTTACAAATTATGTTTGGAGTTGTTTTAGCTGATGATTTTAGTGGTGATCCTTTTGGTTGTAACAATTTTGAAACAGTTTTTAAAGGTAAATCATCTTCACTTGATGAATCAGAAGAGCATTTACTGCATGAATCAGAACTGGAGCTAGTTGTAAGCAGTGATTTGTGGTTTTTCTTGATTGGTGGTTTGTCCTTAACTGCCTTAGGTGTTTTGGGTGTGTTGTCTATTGTTTTCTTTTTAACAAATGGTTTGACATTTTTTTTATTAGCAACTTTTCTGGGTGGAATGGCTGCTATTTTTAACTTCAGACCAGTGTCACATGAAGTAACAGAAAAATGTGGTTTGTGTGCAGAGCCCTGTTTTACATCTGAGCACTCCCATTCACTTCCAGATGAATTGCTGGAGCTGCTATGCTGTGAAACAATAAAATATAGGTTAGTTACTTGATTAATAGCTTAGAATATTTGAACCCCTACTAATTATAAATTTAAGGATTTGTTAGGTTTAGTCTTGATTTTTTTCACTACACCACCCAATTTCAAGGATTGGTCCAACCATTGAGTAAGAAACCATAAATCCAATCCAGCCAATGCATCCAGCCCCCAAATAATAGTGGGCACAAAGTTGAGCTCTGTCATGATTGAGATGACTCACTGGGTTATTTTGTCTTGGTAATAGTAGGTCTACCCTAACTAATTGATCACTACTTTTACTCACATTGTGTGAAATAATATTTTTTCATTATAATATTTTCCAATATAGCATTTTGAATGCAAAAATTTATCAAATATACAAAATTAAATTAGCCTAAAAGATAATTATACCAACATATCAAAAAAACTATTATGGCAAAATGGTTATGCCAGGGCAAATAAGAAATAAAACATGCATGAAGTAGATATCCCTATGTAAAAGATTAGGAATAGACCTGTTGTTAATGCACTTTAGTCATTGTAAACCTACATAATTTAATTCTGAATTAAAGAAACTTTATTATTTAAAAAAAAAATATTGAAAAATTTATCAAAGCAAACTTAAATAAATCCTAGACTATTTCCAGATTAGTTCCTGTTATTATAACCAACATAAATTATGTAAGTTTTTATCAAAACTGGTGGATTTTGCAAAAGGAATAAAAATATCTAATCCCTATAGCTTTTGACATTATTCGACTTTGTTAAAACTATTTGTTAAAGATACTACTACTGCTTGGACAAGCAGGAAAAAATACCAAAATGGCTACACTAAGATCCCGAAAAAGGCAGGTGACCTCATAAAATGAAATCTCATAATATGAATATGAATATCAAAAAACACTGAGGAATAACTATATTATTACAGCACAAAAAATATAGTATGCCTCAAAATTAGGAGAAGTATTTGGGTTTAGGATTTGTTAGTATCCATTAAACTCGAGAATGAGTGGACAAATTTGCCCAATTTGGAAAATAAAATAAATCTTTTTCAAACAAATTTTTTGTAGAACTTTTAAATCATCAAAAAACCCTATATGTTAAGGATGTCTTTTGACTGATAGGTTGTTGATATTTTTTACAAGTCCAAAGAATATTTAACTTTAACTCATTATTTAAAACTTAGGCAATATAAAAATTTCCAGGGCAACAAGTAAATTAAGTGTCATTTTACCCTGTAAGCAGACTACTAATCTGAAATTTATGCTTACATGATGGTATAACTTGATTCAAGAACATAATAACTTAAATTAACTAACTAACCTCAGAATCATTATTAGCATCCGAATCACCACTGGAGTCTTCAGTTTTTGGCAACTCTGTGCCCATTGCTGAAATAAGAAATAAATCACAATTTCTTAATTCTGATTTATATAATCTACTGAATCTCATAAATTTATTACAATTCTAAGTTTTGTTTTGTAAAATCGGTAATTTCAAAGAAAAAGTTAACAGTCCACAACAAATTAATGAAATTTAATAGTCAATAGGTTTGTCACTGGATCCTAGAATAACTGTTACAGTTGTAAGATATGTTTTAGATTTTTAATTACCGAATTCATATGCAACTACAGGGTACAGTATATCCCCTATACAGTAAAGGGGGCATATCCACAGTAGAATATTTATTAAAATAAACTCAAAGAACTTACTCTAAAATTAATTTATGAGTAATTATAGTTATTTAATGAATTTAAAATATTAGTATACCATGAATGAAATGGCATTATGTGAATAATATAAAAAATATTGTGATCCGAGTAAAGCTAATTCGAAATAATTATCTAAGTACCTAGTGAGTACTCACTTCAGGGTCGGTCAAGATATTCCCAAGTATAATTCCGTCTTCATTTCAATAGCAAATATCCACAAACGATATGGAAACCTGGAAAAGCAACAAAAATCTCTAAAGACGCACATAAGAATACACATTTCATCTAAGTTTAGAAATATTTTGGATCTCATTACAATGACAGATTTGACGACATTGGTGAGCAAGACCAGTTTTAATATCGTGATAGCGCTACTTGCAAAGCACGGTAGTGAAATTTTGGTAAAAAATATTATGGAAGAAAACCGCACCATTTCAATTTATTACTTATGAAATTATCTTGAGAATATTATGAAGCATAACGGTCTTTATAGGCATTGGCGCCAAATAAGTGCATACGTTTACAACTATACGCTTTCGCTATAGTGTAATAACGCTCAGCTAACACATAATTAAATATTCTTACTGAATATCTGTACTAACCAACTCGAATTTCACTAAATTGTAAGACACAGGCTAAAATTGTTCAATAAAAAGCACAACACTTGGCCTCCATGTTTACAAATCATTTGTATAAAAATTCTTAGTACACATACATATACGTACCTCAAAGAGAAAGTCGTGAATTTAACAGCTTATTCACTTCCTCATATGAAAGCAACGAAGAGTCGAATGAGATGCACGATCTTTTAGAGTATTTTTCGTAAATAGATATAGTTATGATTCGCCGCGCAAAATGGCGTCTTTCCACACCGCTTTTTAATTAGATAATGATGGTCGTTTTATTAAACGTCTACTAATCTCTTGACAAATGTAGCATTAGTAATAAAAATACAGTAGTTATTATTATTTGTTCCCTCTAGCTTAGCTATTATTTACTTGTACATATTACAAATAAACAAAAGCTTAAAAAAAGAGTCACCTTGTGCCGCCATCTGTTGAAACTTGACCAATTCATTATTTAACTTGATATCTTATACATTTACTAGAATTTTGTTAGATGGCAGAGTCGACGGCACTTGGTGCATAAAAAAACAAAAAAACTACAGCAAAGAAATCGTAAGTTTAAGTTGTTTATTATGTTACGTGTAAAGGAACGATATTTGGTTGATATACCTATATACCTACTAAGTCTGTGGTTGATACGTCAACATTAGTGATGAGCCAACTTATAGGTTGCTTTCATCCGAATTTAGGTTTGGAATGATGAACAAAAAGCGGAGCGCAGAATTCAGCTTGTATTTGTATGTGTCATCATTATGCATCTACAAAACGAATGATATTAATATAAATATCAAAATCAATTAAATCCAAGCCTTAGACTGATTTGATTAACATTTTAGATTATTTTTAGAATTAACAGCTTAAGACTCTAAGAATTAAAATTAATAGCTTAGAGTCTAAGCTGTGAAACTTGTGCTCTAACTTGTGAAAGTCGAAAATTTTGCCAATGGCTCGCAAAACTAAGGCGGGAGATCTTATAGTGACAAGAATCAGCAAGAAATTCAACAAAGGCTGTTTTTTTAATTTCAACTATACAACACAAGTATACTATATTTGAGGAAACGTAACGACCTAACGCACATGACACCACGGCAGAGATTTTTAAGAGAGCATGACTACTCTAGATACTTAGTAAATAATATATTTTAATAAAACTGATTTCTAGAGTAGGTCGTGTAGGAAGTCAATCTATTAATAACAATATTATTCTAAGAACCAAAAAGCACATACCCACCGTACGAATTAACTTATCACATGGCTCGACGTCCGCCGTCGACATGCAAGATCAGTAGAAATAGTATAATAACTGTACGTGTCTTTGTGATTTTGAAATCTAAAGTTATAACCTTGCTGTTCGTTTATAACAGACGTTTCTTGTTGATTGCTAAATGTTTATTAAGATGATTTAATTATGAAATTAGATTTAATAACTGATCATAGTTTTTAAAGTCTTAATTACGAAAGCACAAGTTTTTTGCACGTTATTTTGGCCAGAAGTTATGTTATTTTGTACGAATACCTAGTAAATTTGATACATATTGGGTAAATATATAGATAATAAACGGATTTTTTATTATAATTATTCTTTTTATGACTTTTGTTGCTGATTAATAATCCCTATTCATTCATTCATCATACATAATATAAAAATATTATTGTGACTTGATGTAGTTTTGTTGTTGTAAGTTCAACAAACAACTAATAGCAATAAAACTAACTTAGGTATAGTTGTTATTGTTTTCAGAACTTTTGTTAAATATTATAATGAAAAACTCCTAGACCTACTATGTCATAAGTACTAATTAATACTACTAATTAATTAATAAAAATTATTTGGCGGTAATATTATTGTATACCGTAGCTAAATGCCACTTTTAATTATTTCACAGAATTAATTCAATTGATTTCCATAAATTAAAAAAAAACCTCTGTGCACATTTCCATTATATTAGTTTCCATTTTCCTCTATACAAATAAAAAAGATATTTATTCAAAGATTACTTTGTATTAATCGAGTTGCGTTGGCATAACTCGAACCAGTTAAATTTCAACTCGATATAAGTCAGAGTTATCAGATAACAACATTGACGTAATAAAAGTAAATTGGTTTCGAAAATTAATAAATATGACATCTTTTCGTCTTTTTTATAATATTTAAATTTCAAATTAATTTTAATTTATTTGAATCGTAAGTTTAGTTTATTTATTATATTACGTGTAAAGGAACGATGTTTGGTTTATATGTCAGTATTAGTTATGATGAGGCAAATTATTAGGAGTTCGTAACTTCAATTGACTCAATTCATTCGAATTCAGGTTTGGAATTAAGAACGAAAAGCAGAGTGAAGAATTCAGCTTGTTTTTTTCAATCAATTCAGCCTAGGCTGTTACATAGGCAGTACTTGTGAAAGTCGAAAACTTTGCCAACGATTCGCATAACTAAGACGGGAGATCTTGAACTATGAAGAACCGGCAAGAAACTCAGCAAGGGCTGCTTTATTTTTTATTTTTTTATTTTGTTTTATATTTTACACGGAGAAGTCTTATTAGAATGTGACTTAATTAGACTATCAAGTCACTTCCCAGATAGCAATTTAAACTTGTTTCTGACTTGTAACAAGTTTGATACATCAAATAAGAAGACTTGCTTTAAGTTTACCATGACAACTGCAGCAACTTGCAGTAAGTTCAAATCAAACTATCTCGTTTCAGTGTAACAAACTCGCATTACCATTGACGTATCAAAGGTAGTGTAATTGTACCTAGGAAAATTATTATTACTACTACCGTAGTAGTACCGTATAGTTTCCAAGGTACTGACTCGAATACCTAGTAGGTCCTCGGATACTCGAATACCTGAAATACAGGTTTGGAGGCAAATATTACTTTACGTTCGCTAAGTTTTTATTTATCTTTTTATCATTAAATTTTTTTAGGTCCAAATTGCGACATCGAATCCCATATTTAGATCACATTGATAAGGCATATTACTTATTCAATCTAACAATATAAACTGATACCGCGATGCATTAAATGAACAGCGCCATCTAGTTTGCAGACTTAGAACTATTCGGGCACCTATGAAAATGATGGGCGAGTTATAAATAAGTATCTTTGTCATATCAATATTCAAACAATATTGTCGCTAACTTGAAACTTCATATTTAATATAACAATATTGCAGCGACATTGTCACAAACTTGCCTCGTGTATTTGACGTAGCAATTTAGAATCAATGAAAAATTAAACTTGCACCAAGTTAGGGGCTGTCCATTAATCACGTGAGGCTCGAAAGGGGGGGAGGGGTCCATAAAAAAGTCACGAAATATCACAAGGGGGGAGGGGGGTGAAGTATTTATTTTTTCGACAAACGCGCGATACTCAACCGAAAAGCGGCGTAAATAAGTGTAATAAAATTATTTTTTCGTCAAACGTCTACCTCTAGACATTATTGTACTCTTTAATTGTCTATAATACAATTAGAAAATAAAGATACATTGTAAATACTAAAAATACACGTGATATATGGGGAGGGGGGGGGAGTCTTAAACTCACCATGTATCACTATGGGGGAGGGGAGGTTAAAAAATGCCAAAAAAAACATCACGTGATTAATGGACGGCCCCTTAGCATGCTATCTGGGGATGAACAAATAAAAGATTCCAATATTTTACCAAAGATACTGAGAATTGATTTACATAGATCTATAATTAAGCTAAATTTTTAACGCTTTAACGTGTACATGCTTAACTGCTTTAAGCGTTAAGTATAATTAGCGTGTTAAATTCACACGCTAAGCGTTAATTTAACCACCTCTATGTGTGATATTTTATTTATACTTTACATAGAGATAAGCCTGTCCCATGGACGAATTATAATACTACTACATAGAGATAAGGTAGAGAGGAAATATTTTCTATGGTTATATAAATATCATGCAATTTGAAGTTGACATCGAAAACATCGTGTTGTCTTTTTTTAACTAATAAGAAGTTTCTTTAGTAAACAAAGATCGCACTAGTGTGACAGTTCAAAATTTTTTACGTGACGTCATGACATATAGCTGTCGTACCACCTGTCCGCCATTTGCAAAGTTGCAGTGCGTATTTTCCATAGACATAAAAGAAGAGGACCGGCCATACCTACGAAAAAAGCGTATATGCCTAAACTTCAAATGCAAATTCTTCGATGACGGATTGTCATAGGGCGTGACCCAAGATATCGATATTTGTATCGACATTGAAGTCATATTAAATAAAAGTTAGTATTTCGTGAAACTGCTACAATACTACTACTTATTAAATAATATAATATAATTTTCATTGTTAGGGGCATGGCTAAACTATTACCTATTACACTTCTATTCATTTCACACTTACGTACCAATCCTATTTATGATTATTATTAATTAAATTGAAAAATTCACGCCAGTATCAAGAAAATAATATTTTTTTTAAAGTGGCGTGAATTTATCAATTATTTATAAATCATTAAGCAATCTTTTGCTCGTATTTTGTTGGACATCTAAAATTTCTTGCGTTCTTTGTTCTTGCGACTCCGTTGCGTCACTATAGTAAATATAACATATGTTACCAGCGTGTGATGGCGCTTCCCACGGGTAAAAGATTATTCGTATTCCAAATTTCATCAAAATCCGTTCAGTAGTTTTTACATGAGAGTAACCAACATCCATCCTCACAAACTTTCACATTTATATTATTTAATAATATAATTTTATAATATGATTGTACCTCGATAAATATGTTTCTTTTTCCTCTAATATAGCCAATTTTACATAGTTTTAAGATCTATACTACCAAAATATATATCTTAAAAGTTTTACAATAATATCAATCGTGTTTTATAATTATTTCTATATTATATTGTCAAGTTGACATTTTGCAATTATAATTAAATAGTTTTTTTAACATAAGTTTAATTTTGCATCCACGGGAAGTGTGACTACTGTCCAAGATAACTACCAAGGTAACTATAATAAGCTTTTAATGAGTCGATTGACGAATGAATTATTATGCTTTTTTTTGTCTGTTATATGTTATATTTTTTATTGTTTTGATGGAAAGTGACATTTTGGTCCAATGAAGTCATTTTTTATTTTTCAGTACGAAATTAAACAGGGTGCAAAAGCAGCCCTTGCAGTTTCTTACCGGTTCCTTTCTTACAGTTTCTTCTTTTCTCGGTACAAGCTTTCCCGTAATAGATTGCTGAACTATAAGCACAGAGTTTCGACTTTCTTATATGCTTGTAACTAGTAAGCCAACTTGTCTATAAATTTATTCAATAAATTGTTTTGACTGAATAAATTTCGCTTCCTCCTTATTAAGTGAGATACCGTGCGTACTGTGTCACAATTTTAGTTCAGAACATCTTGTTTAGTAATAAACATAGAAAACTTGAAACACCTACATAATCTTTGTATTATATTATTGGTAAAAGAACATAAAAATACTGTAAACTTTGATGAATAAACAAGAGAAAATAAAGAAAACAAAGTTGGTGATGAATAAGTAACAATTGGCATAACAGTAACATTGTTAAAGAAGTAACAATTGGCATTTTATTTAAAAATTGGTTAGCAAGAAGAAAACAGCTGATTAATCAATAGGCAAGCATACAAACATTTTCTCAGCACTAAAACAGTCTGCAATTCATGTTCTGTGAACAATCATGATAACGGTCAGCAATTTAAATTCAAAAAGGTAGCGTATTTTATGATGCATCAGCAAAATAAACATCCACGCCGCAAAATAATTATTTGTGTATTAAGATTATAAACAGCAAAGAAAACCTTTAACTATGCCTTTAATTTGATAAGTGTCCATATTTTAATTTTTATTAAAATTATTTAACTCATTTTATTGTATATTTTACTGGGAGTATATTATGATCAGAATTTTATATTTTAATATTATTATATATTGCATTCTGATTTTTTTCAATTAAAATAGTCGTCATATGACCGCAAGACTAAAAATAAGGTACATTTATAGAATAACAAAATGACTATATAAAAAACTAAATAAATAAATCAGTAAAATCAAATGAAAATTAACTAAGTGTGATAGACATTTTTTTTTAAATAAGTTAAAAGCAATTGTCAAAAATTCTTACCAGAGTATTTGATTGGCAATGCATCATCTCGTAATTTTATTATATTTAAAGTTCGATTCAAACAACTTTCCCTAAAATGAAGTGAGCAGATAAAAGTAACTTTTTCATTACATTTAATATTTTCTGCTTCTATGTACCTCGGCCATTTTCCTCTTTTGTTTCATCTTTTGGGAATTATTTTATAATTAATATATTTTTAAATATTAAAATTATCGATATAAACCATATGTTAAAGTAACAACACTAGCCATGTAAACAATGTTATTTACGGACCGAAATATTATAAAAATATAAACGAAAAGAGCAATATAGCATAAATAGAACATGCCAAAATACGATATGTATCGATTTATACACGCAATCATTTTCAGAATAACTTACTTACGTTTTAAATACTGTTATTCCAAGAAAGTGTTTAACTTACCGGTGAAACGTAATATTGCTCGGTTTGCGGGATATTGATGACGCACAACCAATTATACAGCACCTAGGCATTGTTTTGCATAAATAATTAACAATTTTCTGCCATGAAAGTTATATAAATTAAAGTTATAAATAAAAATAACCACAAAACTTATAACACTGACAGCTGAACTACTTCCGAGAACACGCACAGCAAATTTGCAAATGGCTGACAGGTGGTACGAGAGCTATATCTCATGACGTCACGTAAAAAATTTTGAACTGTCACACTAGTGTTATCTTTGTTTACTAAAGAAACTTCTTATTAGTTAAAAAAAGACAACATGATGTTTTTGATGTCAACTTCAGATTGCATGATATTTATATAACCATAGAAAATGTTTCCACTCTACCTTACTCTATGATAAAATATTAGCGATGAGTCGTTATCTTTTTTTAAATCACGTAACATAACCGCTATCAGCCCTGCGATTCTGTAACAATCCAGACCCGAATTCGAATTCACTCATGTGTCCGAATTCTAGTCATTTAGTAAAGAAATCCTATTGATTCCATTTTTTGTATAAAAATACTAAACAAAATTGACTGATTAAACGTGTCATAGATATTTTAATCCTATATCATTTCGAAACTCACTTCACTTATTTCACGAAAGATTATTACCAATTCAAGTTTGAGCGGATGCCGCTTTTTGAAGTGAATTCGGACACCCGAGTGATTTCGAAATCGGGTTTGAAGTTTTACAGAATCGCAGGGCAGATCGCCAATTACCGGTATCAAACCTGTCTATTTTTGTTTTTAACTCGTTATTTCTACAACGCTACAAAGTCAAAGCGAATTTCACTCTTAAACAAACGCGATAAAGCTCAATTTTGGATTGCTTACCTGATTACTCTGAAAGCCGAGCAACGCGGAACGTACAAACATATACTTATTTCATTCACACGTTTGCTGACATTATGTTGTTGTTTCATTCACATATTACAGGTTGCATTAATCGGTCCATATTATTAAATGCTTTACATTACGCGCTACATTTTATACGGTTATTTAAACTGCGTTACATGACCGTCAATGTAAAGTGTTACTATCATAAAGACATATAGTATCGTTTCCACTGTGATCACCGCTTATTGGTGATCGCGGTTATTGTAAAGCGAGTTGCTCAAACATCAACGTTAAATGATTTACTTAAGAGTGAATTCAGCTTTACTTTAAAGCGTTCTGGAAAATAGATACTTATTGTATCAGTATCACTTAAATCACTAGTGATTGCGGATCAGGCGAATCACTAGTTGAATAACTACATTATAACTTAAGAGACAGATCTCGATTGAGGCCACCTGTGAAACTTAACGACTATGTGACCTACGTGGACTGCTTTAACTGTGAATTTCCGGAGACGTTCAAAGAAGCTATTCAAGGGCCAGATAGTGTAGAATGGCGATCTGCTATGGAGAAGGAGATGAATTCTTTGAAAGAAAATAACGTCTGGACACTTACAAAGCTACCTCAAAATAGAAAGGCCCTACCATGCAAATGGGTTTTCAGAATAAAATATAACCCTGATGGAAGCGTTGATAAACACAAAGCGCGCCTTGTAATTAAAGGTTTCAAGCAGCGGAAAGGCATTGATTATGCTGAAACATACAGCCCAGTTGCCAGAATGGCAACGATACGAGCTCTGCTAAGCGTTGCTGCACAAGAAAACCTACACTTAGTGCAGTTTGATGTCACAACAGCCTTCCTAAATGGAAAATTAAATGAAGACCTTTACATGCAACAGCCAGACGGTTTTGACGATGGCTCCGGTCTTGTTTGCAAGCTCAACAGAAGCCTCTATGGCTTAAAGCAAGCACCAAGATGCTGGAATGTTTGCTTTGCTGAAATACTCATTGTCATGGGATTTAAACAGGCTGATGCTGATCCATGTCTATTTATAAAACAGATGGCAGGGAAGAAAGTCTTGCTAACGCTGTATGTAGACGATGGACTAGTGGCTGCAAGCGATGAGGAAACAGCAAACATTTTCTTGGAGGATCTGCAGAAACGCTTGAAGATTACAAGCAAACCGATCTCTTACTACCTAGGACTAGAGATTGAGAAATGGAAAGACGGTTCTATCTTCATAAGACAGGAGTCATACACCAAGAAGATTTTAGAACGTTTTCACATGTCGGATTGTAATTCGATCTCAACACCAATAGAAGGTAAACCATTGGAAGAAAACCAATCTGGAGGAAGTTTTCCTTACCGAGAGGCAGTCGGCGCTTTAGCATACCTGATGACTGGTACGCGACCAGATATTGCCTACGCAGTTGGAGTTGTGTCCAGAAAACTGGAGAATCCTGGAAAAGGGGACTGGCAAAGAGTGAAGAGGATCTTTAGATATTTAAAAGGCACTGTGAGCTATGGTATTAAGTATCACACAAGAACGCAACAAACAACAAAAGGCATTGTTGGATATAGTGATGCAGATCATGGTGGTGATGAGCAAACAGGACGTTCTACTACAGGAGTCGCTTGTCTCTTTGCTGAAGGCATCGTTTCCTGGCTTAGTCAGCGACAGCCATCTGTTGCTATTTCCACTACAGAAGCAGAAATTGTAGCTGCAAGTGAAGGTGCCCGAGAGCTAATGTGGCTTCAAAGGATTTTCGAATTTATAACCACATTAGACACGATTCCCAAGCTGTACGTAGACAATGAAGCTGCCATACGTTTAGCAAACAATCCAGAGTTTCATAAACGAACAAAGCACATTCGTATAAGACACTTCTTCGTCAGAGAAACTGTCCAAGAAGGATTAGTGAATGTGTTTATATATAAAATAACTGTCGCGAATAACGCCATCGCTCTAACTTATATAGTGGGGTTTACTCTTTGACCAAAAGGTTTCTAAATAATAATTCTATGTAAAGGTTTCTAAATAATAATTGTAATTTTTTTTAATAGATTTATAAGAAAAAATAAATATTTGAATAATTAACAAGACTGGATACTAATTGCATTACATAACATAATATTATCCGTCTTTGTGGATATGCTACTTAGACGTGCCGTGGACGTGCCTGATCGTAGTATTTAAATAATGGATGAAAATGAAGTTTGGGAAGATTTATCAAATATTCCAGCCGATCCACCTGTTATGCGCGAGCTATGTAATAACTGCAAGTTAGTTTCAAGGGAATGATGTTATATTATGGAATAATGGTATAAAATTAGTTCCATGGTTTCATTTCAAATGTTTTTTTTTTTCAAATCGTACTCTCTTTACGTTCCAGAAGACCCACAGTCGTATGTTGGTGTTCAGCATTGCCTCCAAAACGACTCGATCCTCAAAGCACGATTATATTATTACAGCATCCAGCAGAGGAAAAGCGTTGCCTGCGAACGGCTCCTATGTTACAATTGGGTTTAGCAGAAAATAAGTGCCTTATTTTCAAAGGAAAGAAATTTCCACAGCCGAGACATGAATCCCTAGAAAATATTTTGTTGCAATCTAACACACTGCTGCTATATCCAAGCAAAAATGCAATTGACATTAGAGATTTGGAAACTAATGATAAATCATATAACATTATTTTACTTGATGGGACTTGGCCCCAAGCAAAAGCAATTTATGCATCAAGTCCAATGTTACATGCTTTGAAACAAGTTAAATTATTGACAAGTAATATAAGTAGTTATATCATCAGAACACAGCCAACAGAGGGATGTTTAAGCACATTAGAAACGGCTGCAGAAACATTGTCACTCGTTGAAAGAAATTCAATTTATAGAGAACAGCTTATTCAACCATTACATGTACTTTGTAACTATCAATTAGAAAATGGTGCAGTAACCCATCAATCAAAAGAATTTTTGATAAAAACAAAAATGTATCCTAAATTAATAGGAAAAAGATTATCTAGATTGTTACGAACAACAGATGAAAGTTTATTGAGTTTAAGCTGAAATAAGACAAAATTAAAAAAAAATGCTTTCCTCCTATTTAACTTATTTTTTTGTGTATACATTTCTTTTTAAATATATCAGTACAATCAATTGAGGTTACTTTGATTAACAATGGTAACCTTGACAGTCCAATCGCAAAATACATTTTTTTTTTGATGTGGGAACCATAGAGGCATCAAATTAATTTATGTACCTATCAGACTTCATAAATGAAATCTTTAATAAATGAACCTGCCAAAGATGCTGAGATAATACAATCTTTTGTTCTGAGCGCCTAGTTTGAGCTCCACTAAATTAAGCAAATGGCTCTCCTACCGCATCTACTGAGAAAACGCCAATCAGATCGAATTGTAACTTATTTATTCAATTTCTCACTGTGGAAGTGAACATTTGTAATAAACTGACCGCATTCAAAACTGCATTTCTATATTGTACATACTGTAGAATCAGCTATCTATTAAAATTAAATGGGTTTTATCTCTTTTACATGCTTAATTTTAGTCAAAGCATGAAGGTTATTAGGTTTAATATTGAAGCCTGTGCAACGATGGACCAAAAGTTTGAACTAGTTTAATTTTTATTGCACCACTAGCTGTGCCCGTAAATTTGTCTGCGTGGGAAGTATTTGGTAGAATTATTTTATTACTATGGATGAAGTCGAATTGAATAAGATCAATGGGCCATAACCCACTATGCGGGCTTAATGCGGATCGGTGGGTGTTAACGTTGCTGATGCAGCCAGGACTAACGGCTTAACGTACATTGTGCCAGTGTTGTGCACAGTGCTCAGGATAATAATATTTTGGTCACCCATCCTGTCCTTACGAATGTAATTTTCTATCTTTTTTTCTTGTTCTCGCGCTCTGGTTGTCGTTTGTGTCTGAGAATTTTATTCATACCTTGAAACTGTCCTTTTGTTTTTGATCTTTTTAAATTATTATTATTTGTCTAGTTGTATGCACAATCGGCTATTTATTGTTCTTTTTTACATGTAATGCTAGGTTGCCTGGCAGAAATCGCTTGCTAGGGATGAATTTATCGTTTGTACTTAGTTACGTAAAATAAGTATTCATGTATGTCCTTGTTGTGCATTTCTCTATGAAAGGAAGTTTCATACTCATACCATACTGCATGTATATTACGAACAGCAGTTAGAGGCGCTATGCGATCTTCAGAAGTTTTCTGAGATCAAACGCTTGTTGTATGAGTACTCCGAGAGCTCAAGAGATTGTCCCTGACAGTAAATGCTTCAGATTCAACTTTATAGTGCATGAGCCTGGTGATAGGCAGTTAAATACGTTTCACGTTTTTCATGTGTCTCCCGAGACCGAGCGCTTTCCTTCCGGTTTCTTTCTTTGTCAATACAAGTCGGTCGGTACATGTCTGAAGGAAGATACGTGGAGTTTTATTTATTGATATAAAAAAATATATACATATTTTAATTTTGACTTTCCACACTCGAAGGAAATCGTCTACTAACACATACTTCCGAGAGGTGCTTAACTGAGCTTCCGTCAGATTTGAACGGCCCACATTATCATCATCAGCTCTTTTACGTCACCAACTGCAGAAGCCTTATGGTTTAAGGAGGATGGGCCACGACCCTCCGTGTTGGCCCAATGCGAATTGGAGGAAATTACGAGTTGTGTACGGGATGGGTGACCAAAAATTATTAAACACAGGCCTGAGGCCCTGCAGTTTGTCTGTGAAAGAGTTGATGATGATGATCAATATATCAAAGACGCAAAGGGTTTAGCCGGATACGTATGACGAGTCGGCCCCCAAATGGGAATCGATATTGAAACTTATGTTTTAATATAGACTTGATGTTCAAACACGATTTATGTACTTTTCGCGACCGACTTCCGCTTTGACCTTGAGATAGAGAGCAAAATATCCGTATGCTTGACTATTACTGAATGTGATATATCTCTGAAGCTAATTAAGATAAAGAAGTGAAACTAACGCGAGGTGTTAGGTTACATTACAGAGTATATCACATATATTTTTTTATAATTTTTAGAATAAAAAATTACATTAAAAAAGTAAAAAAAAACATGTTTTTTTTTCTGAGTTCTCTGTGACTTACAATCACGAAATTAATATATGTTATGCTCCTTTGTGTGCTCTATCACCCATAAAAATTGCGTGAAAAAAAAGTTGGTGCAACACAATGAAAAAAAATTATATGTGATTCGCGCCTTGTAGTGTGAGTGTATAAACAAACAAGTTCGAACTTGTTATCGAGCTGTTTACTGCATCGTTTGTTTAGCAAAAGTAGCAGTCATTTGTATTACACAAGAAGGCAGTTTGGGACTCAAATTCTGTCAGAAAAAATTATAAAGAATGAAGAAGAAGCTAAAGTGTTTAGTGACTGTTTGAATAAAATCGTAATAGTTAATGATATTTTTTGTAAGAAGTGTCGACTTATCCCATAAATTAACAAAAAAGCTTCTACTTCTAAATGTGCAGCATTTAACTTGGCCGAAATAATGGACGATCAAAATAATCTCTCAGTACAATATGTGAAATCAGCACCTAATATCATCAAAGCAGAAGTAAAATCAAGACATATAAATAGAAAAGTCTATCGAATTTACATTCACTATATTTCCGAAGGTAATGACTACAATAGTATTCTTCGTTATTGCTGTGATTGCCCCAATGGCAAACGTACAGTGGGATGCTGTTCTCATGTAGCAGCTATTATTTATTATCTATCATATGGATGATATTTGTCCAAAATCGTACGTCCTGCTGGGGTCCTAACTAAGTTATTTGCGACTCAAAGTGTTCCGATTGTAATTAATTACAACAGTGACGATGATTAATATTTTGTTTCTTGTATTTTGATAGACACGAAAAAGTAATAATAATAAGTATTGAACACTGGCTGTTTTTTTTTTCATTTCTTTTTTAACTATTATCCCATCTCTTAAGACTAGTTACTTATGTTTTAAAACAAGCTGATGTGAAATTTCGAAAAAAAAAACAATGATGTAATGTAAAAACCTTATAATACAGGGTTATACCATAAGACAGAAATCACATATAATTTTTTTTCGTTGTGTTGCACCAACTTTTTTTTCACGCAATTTTTATGGGTAATAGAGCACATAAAGGAGCATAACATATATTAATTTCGTGATTGTAAGTCACAGAGAACTCAGAAAAAAAACATGATTTTTTTATTTTTTATTTTTTAATGTAATTTTTTATTCTAAAAATTATAAAAAAATATATGTGATATACTCTGTAATGTAACCTAACACCTCGCGTTAGTTTCACTTCTTTATCTTAATTAGCTTTAGAGATATATCACATTCAGTAATAGTCAAGCATACGGATATTTTGCTCTCTATCTCAAGGTCAAAGCGGAAGTCGGTCGCGAAAAGTACATAAATCGTGTTTGAACATCAAGTCGATATTAAAACATAAGTTTCAATATCGATTCCCATTTGGGGGCCGACTCGTCATACGTATCCGGCTAAACCCTTTAATAAAACAGTAAATATTTCATAGTAATTTTGGCAACCACGTCACTTCAAATTGACATAACTTTTTTATTTGTTAACCAATTGAAATAAATCTTACACTAAATGTTAACGGAAGAATGCCGCAACATAATAGTGAAAACTGCATTTAAATAGGTTCAGCCGTTTCTGAGATTATCGTGCACAAACGCACAGACAAACAGACAAACCGACAAACAGACAAAAGATTTAAAAATTATTGTTTTGTATTCTATTGCGCTTATAAATGTCTCTTATAACAGTTGTTTTCATATATCTTCAATGTACAGACATCGATCGGTTACGTTTTTATTATAGTATAGATCGATATTTTTCCTTTGCATTGTGTACGGTCAATATTGCGCAATATTTTTTAGTCTGTGTTTCGTCTTGACGAGGAGTACACGCGCACGTACAAATATGGCGGAAAAACATAATCAAAAATTTAAGAAAAGAGAGTTTGTCGCCGAATGTATCCAATTGTACAGAGAGTCACCGTCTCTGTCGAATGTCAAGAGTAAAGAATATCATGACCGCGATAAAAAAATGCTGCTTACGAAACATTGTTGTCTAAATACAAAGAACAAAACTACAGCAGCAGCTAAATCTTGTTCCGACATGTTGCTTCCGCACGATGAACACGGGATCAACACTAATCTATGACTGAACACGAAAAGATTGCGCAGTTTGTTTATTGTGCAATATAATTGATCGTTTGTATTCTAAGTGCCTTTTAATCTTATTGTACAATGTTATTGCAGCGTCTAGGGGCCGCCTAAGCTATATTAGCGGAGACTAAACATTAATTTTAAACGATATTTACTATAACTCGCAAGAGTTAACTTGGAAACCCAGAGCGCAGTAGGTAATACACAACGCAGCCGTATGGCGACGACGGCTGCATAAGACTACAAATGTCGCCATCCCTTATCTTCCTAGGAAGAGGCCACCTTGGGATAATCTCTGTTTTAGCTTGGTGGTAGTGGAAACCCGACTGGATAGCGACCACCATATGTTCAGCGAAAAACCCGTCATAGTGGTTCCACCGCGTTTCGGGATCAGCTGTAATACATCCAGATTGCCCAAGAGCCTTTCGCCCCGGTTCCCAGTGGAGCAGGGACTGGGTTTTTATTGGGTTACTGGACAGCTTCAGCTCTCTTGAGTTCCCGGCCAAGGAGACCCGTAGAAACGGTTATTCCGTTGGCCGCCCGCGGTATAGTACAGGGGCCCAATTGTAGCTAACCACTACATGAGGCTGCCCTATCATGCTGCGCATAATCTTGGACTGGATCGTCGTGCCGGTTGGTGACCGGACTGGGTCCCGGCGACCAGTTCCCGGAGGGTACGGGGGCCCTTCCGTCCGGGGGCTCAATTGAGCTTGTTGATCTAGATTTACAACTCGGTAAACCATTCCGCATTTTCATCTCAGCCGGGACGACAGGTTCTTGTTACACATCCTCTTCTTACACCAAAAATGATAATGTCGAGAAATAGAGCAGATAAT